ATATATGAGTGGGTCAGAAGGAAAGTGAACCAAGTCTATTTTTTTCTAAAATTTAGTTAAGAGTATACTTAGGTCCGTTTGAATAGTTATAATTTTATGTGCTGACTTATTCAATACTTAGTTCATCAGGTTACCAATAATGTACGCTAGTTCACTTGGATAATAATAATAATAATAATGCCTTTATTAATAAGTCGCAAAAAAAAGGAAAGAAAATAATAATACACTCTTAGAAAATAGACTTATTTTCTGGACGAAGTTCAGTTTGGTTATTAACCAACTGCTCTTCCACTTAATCCAGAATATATAGAAAAAATATATATAAAGCAAAAATGAGAATGTTTTTAACAATACTAATAAACAAAACGAAAAAAACAAAATAACAAAATACGACGACATGCCAGTATAAAGCGATACATTCGTAACTCAGAATATAATATAAAAAAATCATGATGACTCAAGCAGGAGGGAGGATTTTAATTTACTCTTGAACGAAATACAGTTCAATCCTATAAGGTTCATCGGTAGATCATTGTATGTTTTAGCTATCTGGTAGGAAAAGGATCGGTGCGGAGCGCGGCTTGGTACCGTCAATACATCTTTCCTCCTTATATTAATGTTATGGACATCGCTTCTGAAAGATAGGCGTTGCAGCACGTAAGGAGGCCGCTGACATTTAATAATTTTATAATAAACGCAAGTTGCATGCAGTTTACGTCTGTTCTTCATGTTCAACCACCCAGTCTCTGCCAACTTATGACTAATATGGTCATATTTACGAAATCCGTAAATAAACCTCAGACAACCGTTCTGGAGGTTCTGGATACGACGCCCACTCGCCTCCGTTGAATTTGGACCATAAACAACGTCGCAGTGATTTAATTTGCTTAGAACCACAGCATAATTTTTAATTTTTCACTTAAGACATCCCTATGGGCATACAAGAGACGCAGGGCGCCATACCCACCCCTCAAGCACCTGGCCACATGCTCCTCAAACCTCAACTGATGATCCAATGTGACTCCTAAAATTTTTATATCATCAGAAACAGTAAGAGGTTTGCCATCCACCACCAATTGACCGGATATCAAAGGCTTAATCGCTCTCCTTGTGACACTACCGCAAAACAGAAGAACAGAAGACTTAAATGGATTTAGCACAAGTTCATGGCGTTTCGCAACATCAGAAAATAATGCTATATCTGAGTTAAATTTTATGCATTTGTCTATCCAATTATTTGGATTAAAATTCAGCAGAAGCTGTGTATCGTCTGCATACAAGTGAATCTGCGAATGCTCAAGAACCTGGTCAAAATCAGATGTATAAATAGAGAACAATAGTGGCCCCAAAATGGACTTCATTTGGGTTTACCCGCATGTCTCTAAAGATGGCTAAAATCTCTACGCCACCAACTAAAATAAATTTGAAGGAAAGACATTACGCAAATATTCAATTCATTTTGAGTCATTTTATTGATTTCGAGAATTATCGAAAATTGGTCGTACCAACTTAGAAACCTTCGTGAGCTCATGCACAACTACTTTGCTAAAGATCATCACATGATCAAATGCATAGTTTACGATTCTATAAAGGACATACAGACAAACATTCATTTATATATATATATAGATTCTATTATTACACACGTACATATACACCAGAGTGTTTGAATCCTCATTTTTTTCAGTTTCTTCTACTACATACTGTACATCTTTTGTGACTACATCAATAATTGTGGCTTTACATGTTGGAAGGAAGTTAGTTGTTCTTCTCTTTTATTACTGTGAGAAAATCGAGGTCTCTCTCCGACTAAAATTTGTACACTAAATTTCCCCTTTTAGAAAAAATTCAAAGAACTCATTTCCTAGCAAGTGTACACTAAATTTCACCAACTTATAGTGACTCCTAATCTTTTCAATAATGTATTAATGCCGGTTCTGGATCAGGAGCGGCTCCTTGTAATGTCACGCTCCAATGTTATAAGTATAGGGAAAGTGACCAACTTAAATCCGGGGGGCCAAAAGTTACTAGATTTAGGTTGGTATTGGAAAAGTAACTAAATCTGGTGACGTAGCGGACGCTTACCTAAAAAAAAATTTAAAATTGTAGAGTTCTGTGGGAAACCTAACTTAAAAATGTAGCCTTGAACTCAACCAACCTAAATCAAGTAACTTTTTGGCCCCCCAGATTTAAGTTGGTCACTTTCCCTATACTTATAACTTATAACATTGGAGCGTGACGTCACAAGTAGCCGCTCCTGATCCAGAACCGGCATTAATACATTATTGAAAAGATTAGGAGTCACTATAAGTAAAATATGGATGACAATATATTAATTTAACTTAATTTATGGAGAAAGTATCCGTACTTTTTTAAAAAAGTATTCGGATACATTGTAAGTATCCGGTATTCGAATACTTTCTTCNTTACATATTTATGTTGACGACATATTTGACGTCGTTAATTATGCCCAATGTTTAATGTATTCCGACGATTTAAAACTCTTTCTCCGTATCTCCTCACCTCTTGATTGTTCTAGACTGCAATCTGACTTAAACAATCTATATGCTTTTTGCTTAAATAATCGCCCTTCATTAAACTTACCAAAGTATAATATTATTTCCTTCTCTAGGAGGGTGAACACAATCCACTACAATTATAGCGTCGCTGGCGAGAGGTTGCAACGTGCCTCATTTATTAGAGATTTGGGTGTTACATTTGATTATAAATTATTATTTGATAAACATATTAATACTGTTGTCTCCAAAGCCTTGCGTATGTTAGGATTTATTATGAGATCCACGGTAGCTTTTTCTAACATTGATGCAATTAGAAATCTCTATTTTGCCTATGTCTACAGCACACTTAACTTTTGCAGCGTCGTTTGGATTCCTCTGTAGGAGCGTATTCAATCTAAATTCTTTAAATACCTTTGTTTTAAATTGTCCGTTCAATACATAGATTTCGAATCAACTTGCACTTCTTTTCGTATGGTAACA